AGAACAGACTCTAAGAAATATAAGAATATAAAATTCAAAAGATCAAAAAGTTTTGGAACAACCTGATTTTTCCAGGACAATCTGGATGTAAAAAGTAAGTGTCTGAAATACCTTAGAATAGGAATGGTAGTTATTACTTCTTTAAGAATTGCATATTATCTATATGCATCACCTATATTTTTACTTAGTTACATTAATTATCAGAATTATATTCACCAGATTTATATTTACATCTAGAATTACTATCTTTATAACTTTCTAAATATTTATATGTATCACTAAATATAGATATATTATTACCTGGTCTACATTGATTATCAGATCTATATTCACCAGATTTATATTTACATCTAGAAATACTATCTTTATAACTTTCTAATTATTTATATGTATCACTAAATATAGATATATTATTACCTGGTCTACATTGATTATCACATCTATATTCACCTGATTTATATTTACATCTAGAATTACTATCTTTATAACTTTCTAATTATTTATATGTATCACTAAATATAGATATATTATTACCTGGTCTACATTGATTATCAGATCTATATTCACCAGATTTATATTTACATCTAGAATTACTATCTTTATAACTTTCTAATTATTTATATGTATCACTAAATATAGATATATTATTACCTGGTCTACATTGATTATCACATCTATATTCACCAGATTTATATTTACATCTAGAATTACTATCTTTATAACTTTATAATTATTTATATGTATCACTAAATATAGATATATTATTACCTGGTTTACATTGATTAGTAGATCTATAATAACCAGTATTACATTTACATGTTGAAGTAGCAGTATAACATATTAAATCAGGAATACAGACTTCATTTGAATTACTGCAATCTCCATTATATCCTAATTCTATAAAATATATAAAAATAACATGCAGATAGATGATATAAATATAATATTTTCAAAGCCATCTACCTATCTAATTCTGTATTTAATAATAGGTTAAAATATGTTTTTGAATATTATTTAGTTAGTTCTCCGGTCTCTCAGCCAGAGAAGAGTCAGAACTAAAAAACAGTTTCCTCGGATTTCTAACAATGTTAATCGGATTTTGATATATTTACTTTTTTTCACTAAAAGAGTCTGATTTCTCAAATATTTCATTCAAAATATATCATCCCACGGGATTATAATTTATCGCTGTAATAATTCAAGATAAAAGGTACAGAACATATAACATACTTACTTATTGTACATGAAGTTAATTAATGAGAAAACACGCTAACCAAAAACTTACTTGGATAACAATTATTATCATATAGGTAATGATCATCTTGACATCCACATTTATTATTGATACATGTTAAATTACCAGTACATGGCTGTGTATCACTTGGGTTACAGTTACTACCAGATTCTACTTCTATAAAATAAATTATCATATGTATTATTACATGTTAAATTACCAGTACATGACTGTGTATCACTTGGGTTACAGTTACTATCAGATTCTACTTCTATAAAATAAATTATCATTATTATATTATTACATGTTAAATTACCAGTACATGACTGTGTATCACTTGGGTTACAGTTACTACCAGTTG